ATTTTCAGACCTTATTAGACACTCTTGCATTTTTAAATACTTCTGTGTGTAAAGCAGCCCCTTTATTCCAATGATTTTTTGAAGATCCTCTTGCTGAGCAACATTCTCTATGACAAAGAATTCATTTTTGTACAGAGGTTGAATTTTTGGATAATGAAACAAGAGCCCTTGAACATATCAATGAAGCAAAACTGTTTTAGCTCAGACTTTGGATTTTCAAGTTTAGTATTCTACCAAAGACCATGGTTACCAGCAAAATGCTATTCCAAGCAGATTCCATACGATGCATTGATAACTCTATGCAAGAAACTTGAAATCTATTTACATTATTTGAATATACACCAAGAATTACCATACATTACCAATGCCATAACTATAGTTGAGGTCATGATTTTTCTTATCTGGATTTCCACAACATTCTAAACATTTTCCTCATCTCTAATTGAAGACAGAGTTAAGACTGATAATGCATTCCTCCTTCTAATGCAAATGTGCTAATCATTTCTCTTCATAAAACTTATCAATTGAAATCCATTATTCTAGTGCATCACAAATATTTTCTCTTCTTTTTCAAGACTTTTCATCACTTGATTACTTCTTTTTTTTTTATTGTTGTTCTGGGTGGGGGATGCATTGCGGCATTTACAAAAGTTCTTACACTATATCAAATATATCATACCTGAATTCACCCCCTCCACCACTCTTCTTCATACCCCTTCTCTCCTTCTTGGAATAAATAGTACATACATTTGTATACAGTCTTTAATTTTAGACTAGGAGAGTCCTGAAGATAAGAAATACATTTTGCTCTTTTGCTGCATTCCCATACTCTACACTAGAGATCATATAGCAAGGGTTCAGGAAATATTTCCTAAATTAATGAATAATTATGCTGAGGTAGAATCTCTTGTTCTATGTCTCATCTTTTCCAGGAAAAGAAATATGCTCCATTATATAAAATAAACTGAAGGATATAGACACCCTCAGAAAAATGTTAAGCACTGTATAATGAAAAAATTGTTAGTTATATTTTATGGTAGAGGAGTTATACAAAAGATACCATAAATGACCCACATTTCTGAGATGTTACCCTATGGAAAATCTTTTTACCTTCTACCACATCTATCTATGGCTTCCCAGAATTTCTTGAACTTAGTTTTCACTGGTAATTGCTTTTCTGTCATTAGGTATCACATAACCAACTTGCATCTTTGGTTTCAATATCAGAATGAAATGAATATTAGTTGAATCTAATAAGCTATCTCATCAGAAATTTCTTCCTTGGATCAAATCTTTGGAAAACAAAATAGCTATAGAAATACTTTCCACACTGAAAGAAGCCATGACAGAGTTCTTTTACATTTAATGATTCTTCCTCCTATGAAAAATAGTTCCAGTACAAGTGGTGACTTTAATTTAGTCAAGACAATGACAATAAGTTGAATAGAGTACTGTTTTCAGTAAGGTAGAAAAGTGAACAGTACCAAATTTATCAAATCATCTTTTACATGGCACTGAAGAAATAAAGCCTTCAGTTGAGAAGGTTAATATATATACATATTAATAGAAGTATTATAAAATAAATTTGAAATTTATCAGGAAGCATATGAAATTTCACAAGTATGCATATACAGTCACAGCTTACAGTTGTATTTCTTGGAATTGCAACTAATTGGTAGCACCTTTGGATTCATATACTAACACTAACTTTTTATTATGCTTCTCAGGAAACTAGATTTTCTTTTTGTTTTTTTTTTCTTCTTTTATTATTCATATGTGCATACAAGGCTTGGTTCATTTCTCCCCCCTGCCCCCACCCCCTCCCTTACCACCCACTCCGCCCCCTCCCTCTCCCCCCCACCCCCTCAATACCCAGCAGATACCATTTTGCCCTTATCTCTAATTTTGTTGTAGAGAGAGTATAAGCAATAATAGGAAGGAACAAGGGTTTTTGCTGGTTGAGATAAGGATAGCTATACAGGGCATTGACTCACATTGATTTCCTGTGCTGGGTGTTACCTTCTAGGTTAATTCTTTTTGATGTAACCTTTTCTCTAGTTCCTGTTCTCCTTTTCCTATTGGCCTCAGTTGCTTTTAAGGTATCTGCTTTAGTTTCTCTGCGTTAAGGGCAACAAACGCTAGCTAATTTTTTAGGTGTCTTACCTATTATGGAAAACATCATTCTGAGGAAACTAGATTTTCTAATCAACCAGAAGTCATGGAGAAAGGGGAGGACAAATAACCTAATAAAGTATGTCTTTGCCCTGATTTGAGCACAACTTAAACCTGGGACCTCTTCTTTTATTTCTTTATTTGTTTATTAGCGTTCCTTCTAAAAATAAATTTAGATGTCTTCCAGGAGTGAAAACACCCTGTAAGATCAGGCCCATGGAACTCACTCACATGTGCTCCATATCTGTTCTCCTCAGTTTCTGCAGTACTTTCTGTTTCTCAAAAAAAACCCAACCCTTTCCTTTATCAGACTTCTCCCTTCTTTATTACACATAGATCATTCTTCCTTCAGATCTTCACAAAGCCTACTCATTTTCATCATCCTATCTCAACTTATCTCTCTCCTCAGAGGGACTATGATAATCAACTTTCATTGTCCATTTAATTGGCTTGACTTTTCCAGAGACAATTACATCATGCCAGCTCTGATGCAATGAAGGGTTTGATCCAGTGACATATTCAAAATTTGAATAGATCATTGAGAGGTGTTGGAAGTGTGGAAAGTGGGGCCTGGATGAAGGAAATAGGTCACTGGTGGCACATTCTCGGGGGCCAGACCCTGTCCTGTTTACTTTCTGTTACTGCTTGGCTCTACTTACTGTTCACCATGATATGAAGAATCTCTTCTACCACATGCTCCAGCAGCCATGATGTTCTGCCTCACCACAGGCCCAGACCAGGGGGAGCCAACTGACCACAGGCTGAGCCCTCTGAAACTGTGGGCTTAAATTCCTTCCCCTTAAGTTGTTTATGTCAGGTGTCTTGTCAGAGTGACAAAATGTCAGACTGACACAGCCACCATTCCTGATCCCCCTAGACGAAAGGATGGCTCTCATTTGCTGTATGTATATTGTCCTCACTTCTTTCTAGGGGAAACCTGGAATGATCAACTGAATGAACAGCTGGTTAGTGTGATCACCAGTTCTGGCTGACTGAACTCACTTTACCTCTTTCACAATCTGAATATAACTGTTTCACGGAAAGTTTTGAAAAGGAAGGCAGGTAGAATGGAAACATCTGGTTCAGAATGAAAGCCTGGATTTGTAATTAACCCTCATGCAGAGATACAAAATTACAAAACAAGAAAATTTGTGGAAAACTTGAGGAAAAGTATCACTAAAATAACTTGTCTTAATGGTCTGTAAATATTTTCCTTCCCTATGTGATATTCTTTGATTAAAACAAGCTAATGAATGAAGCTGTTTGCCAATCACAATACTATCTTTTTGCATTCAAATTATTCAGTGAGCAGTTTACGATCAGTTTGGAATACTCAGAGTTAAATGCCAGATGTGATTCAAACATTCACTTCTTTTTTTCAAAAACAATTTAATATGAGCAAAACCTGTTTTGTGTCTTGGTCATATTGAATACTAATATTTATCTACCTGAGACTTACAAAGGTCTCATCTCAGAAGTCAGTTCATTAGGCAAAAGAAGTATAATTACTAGAAAAATGTAAAGTTCTAGAGTATATGTTACCAGCCAGACAACTGAGGATTTTATCACAGGAAAACACATCAAAGAACTTAAAAATATTGCCAGGGTTTGATATCCGGGTACCTGGAGAACAACGCGATCCCTGACAGAAAAGCACACACTTGGGGGAACCAAGGAGAGATCTAAAAGGAGATAAAGGTGTTTGTACTAAGCCTCTTGAGTCCTGGTGATCTCTGACAGTTAAGATGAAATAGACCATGAAATTACCATCCAAGCAGATCAGGATCAGAGAAGATTTGGGATTGGAGATATAAATTTTAAAATGAAGCAATGATATGAGTATGGAGGATAGGATCACAGCTGCAATTTAGAGGAAGATTAAGTGTTTGCTCTTGGAAGTATTAGCTTGAATTCAGTTTAAATACTGAGACCATGTGTGGGGGAGGGGAGAATGCAAGCTAAATGGACAGGAGAGCCTGGATTGGGTGAAGAGCAAGTGTGCTTGAGTGAATATGAAATCCGAGACGCTGACGCGGACAAGCATATGCCCAAATAGCCTGTATCCTAAGAATCGCTGTTAAGGCTGAATCGTAAGAAGATGAGAAGTTGTACTGGCAGAATGAGAAAAATGAAAAGGAACTACTTGGAAATGATCTATTCATCTTTCTAGCCCTTGTGACAGAACACCTAGTCTTCAGGTTAAATCAAGCACCCGAGCAGAGGAAAACAAAGCGTGCTCAACTCAACTGGCTGCAGCGCGTTGTAAATAAAAGACCAGATGCTCTTCATTCCCTTCTTCGCCTCGCGACGGTCTTCTGTTCCACCCTGCGTGTAAATCATACACCTCGGAAGTTTTGCATTAGAGAACCCAGTAGGGGAAGAAATATTTTCCAAGTAAAGAAAGTACAACTAGGGCAATCCGAGGAGACTGAAAGGGCAAAACTATCAAGCAAGTTCGGATTAGTTTTATGACTTTGCCTTCATGCCTTAGGAGCTCAATTGATCAACGGCTTCCCAGACAGGCTAAGGAGGTGGGGGCTGACAAAAAATTCTCAAAACTCTCCACCAGCTTGGTGCTTTCAGATGCAAATACTTCCCAGAGAGATAGATGCACAGGCTTCAGCCCCTCCTACTTTCAACCCTCTTCTTTATTTTCCTGCGAAGAAATCCGTCTGCACAGATCTGTCAGGAGGGAGGTGGAGGAGGGTGCGTGTGTGTGCGTGTGTGTATTGTGTGTGTGTCTGTGCGCGTGTGTGTGCGCGCCCGCGCGCGTGCCGGCTAGCGGCTCCGCTTCGCGTTTTTTGCCAATAGCCCTCACCGGGTCTCCAGGAGGTTCTAAAGTCTCAGTGGCTCCCCGAACCGGCCTCGGACAGCGCTGACACTGGGCGCCCGCGGCGGAACCGAACCACCCTCTTGCGTTCCCCTGGCCCCCGACCCCGCGCGCTCTCTCTTTCTCTCCCGCGCTCGCCCTCTGGCCCTCTCGCGGGACGCGCGCTCCCGTTGGCTCCGGACCTGGTGTCTGAGCCGCCCGGCGAGAGGAGAGTGGTGGGGGGTTGGGGGCCGCCCTCAGCCCACGGAGGCAGTGGGAACCTGGCGTCCGAGGCCGGGCAGGGTCTCCGTGCCCCGCGGAGTGAGCTGTGATTGGAGGAAGAGCCGGTGCCGTCCGACCCCGGCAGGTGCAGAACCGGTGCCTCCATTCCGCTCCGCGCGCGGAGCAGCGCGCCCAGGGTCCCGAAACGCCCGCAGGCGCCCGGCCGCCGAGCGTGCGTCCTTTCGGATGCAAACGCCTGTGTTCTGGGCGCCTGACGCCACCAGGAGGGCAGCGAGGCCTCAGGTGAGTGTGTCAGTCAGCTAGGGGCTGGGAAAGGCGCCGCCGGGCAGATGTGCGCCCTTGCTGTGCGCATTTGGAAACAGGACTGATATCAGTGAGCAGAAAGCGGGCGGGGGGTTGGGGGACCCGTGTGGAGTTTCCCTTGCTGTTCCCAAGTTACTGCGTGTTGTGAGACGTTCTGCCAGGCAGGACAAGCGTGTGGACGGAGCTGGTGTTGACAGACACCAGGTGCGACGCGAGAAGTAGTTCAGGGTAAGAGCAAATCCCAGCACTGTCAGATGCAGCGGAAAACACCGGCGGTCTGGTCCGCTTTTCTCCAAGAGGAACACCGGCAGGCTCCTCCCTTGCCCTGAGACTGATGGGGGCACAACTCCGCGCTGCCCGTGCTGCTGGGTTCTGCAGGGGTTTGAGGCTGGAAGGGATGTACGCCTGTGTGTGCAGGAGTCCTTTGAACCATCTGCGTTAGACACCTTTTGCCTTCCATGGAGGTGAAACTCACCTAAGGTTGCTTTGCTTTTTCTTGTAATTAGTATTCTGCTGATATGGTGAATCCGCAGGGTTTGTCTTTGCTCCGCGTCCTGCTTCCCTTCCACCTGGTTGTACCTTAGGCGTGCGTTGGGAAAGAGCGCCCTGATTCTCCGAATGTATGGTGGACTTCTTTGTGGGTCCATATGGTAGACAATACTTGCTGGTATTCAGCCTTCCAGTGTGGATTAATGCGAGAGGACCCATGTTCTGTATGCCTTCACGTTTTAGATCCTTAAGCCTACGGATTTGTTAGATGTCATAGTTCAGGTGAGTAAAGATTAGCAATAAGTTCACCCAGTACTGGGCAAATGGCAAAGTGTTAGGAAACCATGAAGTATTGGGTGTCTCAAGACTTTGAAGATCTTCATATCCAACCAAAATATTCTCAAAACATCTTTTACTTTGCAAGAAGTATTTTGTCTTTCTGAGGTCATTTATTCAGAGAACTCAATATTAAGTAGGGCTTGCCCTTCATAACATCTGTAACCAGACAGCTGCTTAGGTCATTTTTTGTACAGAAGTAGATGAACATAACTTTATACAAAGAGAGAAAAATGTATCTTATCAACACATGGCCCTTCCTAAGAGATAATATGTATTTTAAAAATCAGAATAATAGCACAAAATGTGTATTTTAAGAGTTTAGGAGCAGTAACGGTCTTTTTAAAAGGAAAGTTTGCATAGATATCCTGCCAAAAACATCTAAATAGTTTTAAAGAGTGTCTTTATAAAGACAAGTTGTTAAGAGAAAAGAGCCAGGTAAAAAGAAATTATATTTGAAAATTCCAGAAACTCACGAGAAATTACTTCTTTTCTTAAGAAGCCTTTGTGTTGACCCAAGTTCTTTTCTTGTTTCTCTATGTAAAGGTAAAATTCATTAAGAACACGTTTCTTTTTATTTAGTGGTATTGGAGAATTATGGATTGAAGTATGAGGCCGGTAGTCAAGTGTAACTTTGTGTAAGTCTTGTTTGTGTGTTAGTGTTTAATATGGAGTGATTTAGTGGGAGCAATTAGGCAGCATAGTGTGTTAATAGTTTTATCTGGTAAAGCTAGCTAAAAGTCTGTGGAAGGAAAAATAAAGAAAACAAGAATCAGTAGTATAGCCCATCACCCTGCTAAAAGCTATTAAGGTTTGCAGCTTTAATAAAAGGGCATTGTGCACTTACAATGTTAGATATTATTGTAGTTACGGGCTGCAGTAGGTCATTAGAATTGTGTTAACAATCTGTTGACAGACTCACAACTCTTCTTAAGTCTACTTTTATTGATTTAATAGCATAGAGCTTTCCCTTTTCTTATCAAAGAGTACTTGTAAAGCATCTATATTACTGCAATTTACCCTTGAATTGACTCTGGATTTTAGTGCCCAATGAGGAAGAGAGGGTGGAGAGTACATTTCCTTGGCCTCTGTTCAGCCTTTCTTGGTCTAAAAATCAAACCACTGTCTCTTCTGAGGCATAATTTCTTTGCCAGTCTCCCTATTATTCAGCAGTTTTGCTTTTTAGTGGCAAAGCTGATATAAACTTCTCAGAATGTATTCAGATAAGAAGTGAATACATCTTTGTGTCAAGTCAAATACTTTCTTTATCAAATTTTTCAGAAATTCTTTATCATTTACTTGCTAAACCCATAAATTGTTCTTTGTTGTGAATATTTATTGCTGAATGATTCCAATCTTCCTGAATTGTATAAGGTTTTACATTTACTGATTTAACAGCTTGTGTCATATCATCATTCTCTCTCACACATGAAAAAATGATTTCACTTGATTGGAAAGCTTCAAAGCCTTAGCTTAAATTGGGAGTTTCAGAAACTTCTAAAATAACTAACATGCATTAGTTAATTGCAAAAGGACCTTGATGGAAGCATTTCTTCCTGGATGAATGAATCAGATGTTCCTTGGTAGGGTGTAAAGGGGAACTGAGGACAAGGAAAGAGGCATGTGATCAGAGTCCTGTGTGTGACCGTGTCCCAGCCTCTGACAAGCAGAGCAGATCTAGCAGTAAACAGCAATACACGAGTGCCTCCTCTGGGAATTTGCAGGTTTTGCAGAAAGATGCCCCTGTGAACACTTCCCCCTTGTCATTCTGCAAGTCTCCTTACTGATAAAATTACCAGTGCAAATGAATATGCAGACATCTGTCCATACATTCATTTCAGATTATAATATAGATTCTCACTCTGGTAGAATTCCATTTTCTTCTGTTTTGCATAGTGTTCATTGAAACATGATGCCTTTTGTTGAAGTCACATAAAGCACACCTGGCACAAGGTAAATATATGGGCAAATTAAAATGGATACAGCTAAGATTTCTTGTAAGAGTAAAATAAAAAGAACAAAAGTGATTAAATGTAATATTACTGTTTTGCTATTATGTAAGTAATTCAGAAGGACTATGCTTTGTGACTTTGTTTACTTTTAAATTACATGGACTTTTTTTCAAGTTAATTATAAAGCATTGTTTCCCTTTTCTTTTCATTTCTTTCACTCATGGCAAAGGTTGCTTGTGCTTAGTTGAAATTGACTCTGTAATCCACTTTGAGAAGTTTTCTTTCCATGTTTGATAACCAGATGCACACTGCAGGCTATGTGATTCATTTCCAGGGCTCCTTCCTGCATATTTAGGCCAGTTAACGGTAGGAGGTTGTGATCTGTGGTTGTAATGTTATCTGGCCCAGGGAGCTAATGGATTTGATCACAGTTTCTTTACATGGGAAGTGACATATCGCAAAGAATCCTAAGCCTCACTAATTGAACTGTAAAAAAATTATACAATTTAGCTACAGAGGAGATGAACCTTTTATGCATTAAATTTATTGACTGCAATGATAAACTTTAAATAATATTAAAAAAACAGCAAATTAAATGCTATTATATTACTATACTAGATGCTGAAGATGGCAAAATTAAATCTGGAACGAGTATAATGGAACTATTAGGACAAGACAGTCATCTTTTTAAAAAGTACTGGTTATAGTACTAACCCAAAAGAGTACAACTGGTATGATAGTTATTTTGCCAAACAAAATAGTCCTATATATAAATTTTATATTCAAATGTATTTTCTTGACTTGATGTCCTTTTTCTAAAACTTTTGATGGGATATCATTCAATTTTCATAGGGAATAGTTAATTTCTTAGGGTCATAATATAGTAGGAACTTATTTTTTGACCACCACAGTAGTTTAAACGGGAGAAGGCAATTTTAAATTTGGATCTGTTTGCTCTTCACTTTTTGCAACATTAGAAAATACAGCCCTACTCAATAGTTTCCTCTGGTCCTTATTCTTACTCTGTAACTCCCTGTCCTCTTAACTAGGAATAATCATGATGATCTCCTACTTTGAAAATTAAAACTTATGGTCATATAAAAGTTTGAGTATGATCAAATTCTCTTGGCTTTTGAGAAAGGCATGTTAAATTCCAAGATCATACATTAAAAAAGATATTCATAACCAGAATGAACAATTGTACAATGAATATTTTAAAGTGTTGTTTGCTAAAATGCTTTCAGTTTTAAATGAGTATTTTAAATTCATACTGCTACTAGTTGTGTGACCTTGGACATTTCACTAGGATTTTGTAGATTTCCATTTTGTTCTTAGTAAAGAAAGAAGGGTGGGCTAGGTTTTTATAAAGTTTATTCCAGCTCAAATATGTTATTTATCCTTGATTCCACAACTTCAGATCTTCAGACATCAAGAGCAGCAGAACTGAGAGTTCTTTATGTTTTTTCTCTAATATGAGCCTTCATGAGAATCAAACTATTTCATTATTCAGTATACAGGTGTCATTTTCATTAATTGTCTCATAGACATAGTCCTTAATAGCTTGGTTTTAATGTCATGGTTGAACATAAAGTGTGGCTAATATTCTTAAAACGCTCCTTACCCTGGTACACTTCTTTCTAGTGTTGAATTCTGACATCTGCTCAGTCATGAGTGAAAGGAAGTTAAAATATATCTCCTCCCCTTTGGTATTTCCAAAATGTATTACATGCCTCTACTTTAAAAAGAAACAAAAGGAACAACGAATAACTAATTATTAAAACTCAGCTACTCTAAATTTGTGGATAGAAGTAAATCACAGGGAGCACCTCAGTAGTCACAGGTGGCTGCTATCCTGGGGAAGCAAGGACAAGTGAAGGTCTTTGAAGACCTTGGCTAAATCAGGAGACAGATTTCTTGCTGCAGTTTAAATAAAGCTACCTCTTGCCTAAAAAATAGCCAAAATGTAAAAGAATATTCTTCCAATTATCCCAAAGAACTACTTAGTAGAAGTTTGCTCTTACAGCAGTGGTCACACTTAGCATCGTGTCCTCTAACCACTGCTGTGGAGTGGTGTCCTTTCCACTTTTCACCTTTCGTAAAAGTGAACGAAGACTGTGCTGCTTGTCAAAATGTAGTTCAACTTTAAAGCAGGCTTGGAAATGACTCAATAGGCCAAAGCAAGATATTTATTTCATTTTGTTG